TGGTACTTGTGACGTGGTTGGTACTTGTGACGTGGTTGGTACTTTTGACGCGGTTGGTACTTGTGACGTGGTTGGTACTTGTGACGTGGTTGGTACTTGTGACGTGGTTGGTACTTTTGACGCGGTTGGTACTTGTGACGTGGTTGGTACTTGTGACGTGGTTGGTAATTGGTTAGCACAACAAGTAGCTTTGTTTGAATTCTGAGTGTCATCTTTAAGGATTTTCTCCCAGTCTGCATGGTCAAGATCCATTAATGGTAGCTCATCCTCAACAAGAACACAGACCTTGTCTGCAGTATATTCATATTGACAGAAGTCAGGGCCAAACAGATCACTAAACAGCGTGTCCATACTGACTAACCAGTCTTTGTCGTCCTTATCCCAGCCCACCGTTTTCTTTTTCCAGCCACATCCTCTATAATGAAATGGCTGACCTATAATATTAAAAAAATAATAATCAAGCACTAGAAAGAAAAAGTTAACTTCCATTATCTTAGAAATGGGTTGCAACCAATCAAAGAAATTATGTGATTCTAATTGTTTATTTAGCTGAATCAAAGAATCTTAAGCACTTACAATCCTTTGCTTGATTATGTAATAGTTTACATATGTCATAATGTACTAACATAATTATTTGTAAAACATCACAGTAAGGCTCTTACTGAGTTTTAGATGTACAAAAAAATTTAAAAAGATTTCAATGTAGTAAGTTGTATATCAATTACTGGACTGGTTAATCTGCCATTTTTCCTGACCAAACAAATGTATGGCAGATGTTTGATTTAGTAATTGATAGCAATACCGGAGTATGGTACACATTGCATTACGTCGATAGCATTTTCTACCTTTATTCAGCCAATAAAACATATAAAAGACAACTAATGGCAATACATGAGTGCAACTGGCAACTGTATAATAACATAAATCTATTATGTTTGACTATATTTATATATACCTTTAGCTATACAATTTGTGGCTTCTCGGACGGATAATCGAAGATCCAGTAGCATCTCAGAGTAGATATGTGTGAGAATTTGCCTGACTGAAGTTAAAGATAACCATTAGTAATTGACAACGTAATCACCATAAATAATCCCACTTCCAGTGACAAAGTAGAAAGCCCTTATAATCAATATGAAAACAGTATGCTAGTAGTAGGGTATTTGACATCACTGTGAATTTCACTTGACTGTATGCTTACCTGATGTAGTATAACCTTTCGTATCATGAGAAGTGGCTTTAAGGTACAGTTGCCTCTGTAGCTTGTGGGCTGCCTCAAACCCTTGATTTGAAAACTGGCGGAAGGATCTATGTATTCTCAATAACATTGGTGCATGCTCAACTCTCAAGTGTCCATAGTCTCCAGTCCAAAGACTTTTTCCAAACATTTCGAGGAGAAGAAATCCCCATTCTTTACACTAGTAATACAAATGGTTTCAGTTAAAAAGTCAGCATACCCTGAGTCGGTCCAATAATTTTTAATATGTTATATTTTGCATATTTTGTGTAGATGACAAGACCAAGAGCAAGTGTATCTACTTACCTTAATATCTAAACAATCTATCTCATGTTCCTCATCAATGTCGTATTCTTCATCTCTTATTGATTTTGCAAGTTCCTTCCAAGTTGTACATACCTTTATATATATATACCTTTTGTTGAGCACTTTTTTAGTTTTTTGATGAAATTTTTCATATATACCTTTTTTTTTTTGTTTTCCGTTAGTCGCGTTGGTTTTTGTAGCAATGGCGCGTGCAAAACACTCAGTTTGCTGAAGAAGGCCGAAGTGCCGAAACGTTCTAATAAAGAGTAGGAATAATAGTTGCAAGTTGCGTGCCTTTTTCTTCAATTTATTCAATTTATATACTCAAAGAAGACACCTTGGAATCCTTTGGATCCTTGTAGCTAGACGTGGTAGTTGGCCAAGACAATTATTTTTACATTTTTGTGGATTATCTTTGGATTGTTCATTTGTTATTGTCGCCTGTGAATCTTCAAGATCCTATCATGTCATCTACTGTTAAACATCATCAGCGCAAACTAGAAAACGCTTGGAACAAGCTAGCTCGATATCAACACCATGAAAGATTTTTATCAAAGTGTTTAGAGAAAAAAGTAATTCCTAAAGGACTTGAACTTAATTTTAATCTGAGTCTATCATCTGGAAATGCGGAATTGCAAAGAGTTTGTAAGCAGCATCTATTCACTGCTTCACTCGAACTGTTAAAGGAGATCCATGCTGTGGCTAAGGAAGAACTGTTAGGCCTGATGGGGAACCTTGGACAAGTGAGGATAGAGGCAACGAAAGACCTAGGAAGAGA